GGCGATATATCGGAGAAAATATCGTTATATCGGCTGCTGCGCAGCCGATGTAAAATATATCGTTTTTTCGTACCGATTCACAACTCTATAATATTGCGTCAGGGTCAGCGGTAAAAACGTACCAGGGTATCTCAGAGCCACGTGGTTGACAAAAGCAGTTGCCGGGCCACTGTCGCGGGGCGGAACCAACACGGCCAGCATACACCAATGATGACACAAAAAAAACATTTATTTGTAAAAAAGCCATTCGTACGAAGACCAACAGCTGGCGAACCACCCGGGATCCGGGGGTTGTTTTTCGATTATAGGCATGCTGACCACGATGACAATCCGAACTTGTATCCGCCGCGGACGACATTTTTTTTGCTGCGTTACCGTCGAAGGCTGTGTATAGGCCTCCCTACACTAAAACGGCTGGAAACGCCAGACGTCATTAAAAAAAAACATCCCGCGGCTGGTCAAGAGAATGCCGCCAATAAAAACCCACAGCAGCAGTCATGACCACCGTTAGGCCTCACCTTGAATCTGTTGGCATTTCGCATGCAGCCTTCCTCGGTCAGGGGGAAGTCGAATGCCCCAACCGCAGGCGTCTTGTTGATGGCGTCGATCACCGACCATCAGATCTGGTACGTGGTCGGCACCGACAAGCCAAACATGAGGGCAACATCCCAGTAACTAGCGCCAGCCAGGATCCTCAACGCCACGGCAACGCGGACTTGTACAGCTAGGGCGCCGTTGATTGGCGATCGCAGTGCTGTGGGGTTTCGGAGCGACGCGCNCGGACGACATTTTTTTTGCTGCGTTACCGTCGAAGGCTGTGTATAGGCCTCCCTACACTAAAACGGCTGGAAACGCCAGACGTCATTAAAAAAAAACATCCCGCGGCTGGTCAAGAGAATGCCGCCAATAAAAACCCACAGCAGCAGTCATGACCACCGTTAGGCCTCACCTTGAATCTGTTGGCATTTCGCATGCAGCCTTCCTCGGTCAGGGGGAAGTCGAATGCCCCAACCGCAGGCGTCTTGTTGATGGCGTCGATCCCCGCCCATCAGATCTGGTACGTGGTCGGCACCGACAAGCCAAACATGAGGGCAACATCCCAGTAACTAGCGCCAGCCAGGATCCTCAACGCCACGGCAACGCGGACTTGTACAGCTAGGGCGCCGTTGATTGGCGATCGCAGTGCTGTGGGGTTTCGGAGCGACGCGCAGATAATTTTCGCAGGATGAGCGTGTGTCGGTCTGGAAATATGTACCAGTGTCAAAGGGGGCGTGTTTGCAATCGCCAGCGTCAAAGGACGCATGTCATCGTTAAACTCGCCAGAGTACCGGCCCAATACACCTCCCGACTAGGGTTGTGAGACGGCTCTGTGTTCTTCACGGAACACACAACTAACCTCGCACATGCATAAGAGTCGACACGACTCTTGTATGCTATCATTGCGGGATGCGACAACCTGTGTAGGCTCCCGACGAGGCATGTATAATGTTTAGCGGTGCCGGCGTGTGTTGCACGCTCAATTCATACTGCTGAACTAATTTCAGCGTCACCATAGTACCTTCCTGTCGTTCCCATACAACGACTGCTNAAGAGTCGACACGACTCTTGTATGCTATCATTGCGGGATGCGACAACCTGTGTAGGCTCCCGACGAGGCATGTATAATGTTTAGCGGTGCCGGCGTGTGTTGCACGCTCAATTCATACTGCTGAACTAATTTCAGCGTCACCATAGTACCTTCCTGTCGTTCCCATACAACGACTGCTGCTGTATGCATATGCAGACATTGCTGTACCTACTGCTGTACAGTAGAAAGAAGTACTGCTGCGTGTATGCATACCCTGGCTGCATGTTTCGACGAGGGAGTGGAGTAGCTCGACAAGCTTGTGGAAACTGGCCTTCTCCATGCGGTACGACCGCCGCCAGCCTTGCCGTTTATCGAGGTCCGCCTCGTGTTGGGCCCACGGAAGCCGCTTGGGCTCGTAGATGGGCTCCTGTTCCTGAGGGCAGTGGGCATGATGAGCTTCTCCTGCTGCCACCACGCCCGCCGCCACTACTACGGTCCGCAGAAGACCCAAGACTGTGAGAGATCTCCTGTGTTCCTGGGCTGCACCGACCTCGTCGATAGCTCCTCGACGGCGCTTCTCCCGGCGCTGCGCTGCGGGCCCCTTGGGATGCTGGCGCTTCCGGCGCTCAGCCATGGTAGTGGAGTTGCCTTGGGGAGCGATTTGGGGTGTTGGTGGTGCTGTCTAGGTGTGGTGTGAAGACAGCACGCGTGACCGGTGTCTGCTTTTGTCGCCGAAAAAAGCGGTAATTTTCTCACCGAACAGTAAAAGGAGCAAGCCCAGAAAAATACGCTTCGCTATTTTTACGGAAACGTAGAGGAACGCCTCCATATATTTCAAGAACGTACGGTTTCGTAACCGAATACGTATTTTTTCGGCCTGATAATGACACTCCTTATTGACTGAAAAAAAAACTTTTTTAGGCCACATTCGGCGATTCAGTATGTTTATTCGGTGAGTCCTGTTTCATTTTCGGCGATTTTCGGCGATTTTCTTGGGCTGCCACCTTTGGCACCACCTCCCGCCGAAACTTCAAAATCGATGCCGCCGGAGGTACGAAACGGTCTTATGGCTTGGTTCCAAGACGCGACAAACGCATCAAAGAGAATGGCGTGCGAGAACAGTGAGAAGCGGTCTGCCGACAATTGTGCGTGGTTCCAAGACGACCAACGCATCCAAGAGAAAAGCGCGCGAGAACAGTGAGAAGCGGTCTGCCGACAAAGGTGCACATTTTTCGGCAGACCGCTTCTCACTGTTCTCGCGCGCTTTTCTCTTGGATGCGTTGGTCGTCTTGGAACCACGCACAATTGTCGGCAGACCGCTTCTCACTGTTCTCGCGCGCCATTCTCTTTGATGCGTTTGTCGCGTCTTGGAACCAAGCCATCAGACCGTTTCGTACCTCCGGCGGCATCGATTTTGAAGTTTCGGCGGAAGGGGTGCCACCAACGCTGTGTTGGCGTGCACAGGCACTGCTACCGGGAGAAGCTGAACCAGCAGAATAGAGACCCGCGGCGAAGCTGTTGCACCGGAAGCAGGTGGTGCAGCTCTGCCGCTGCCGTCGCTGCCGCTGTCGCCGCTGGTGGCAGCCGCGGCACTTGTCTTTTGGCGGACAAATTGCACCTCAATTGTCCGAATCCCCTTCGCTTTCACTGCTATTATCCCACCTTTACCGCTAAGAGGCGACGACATTGCGCCGCCGTTCAGCCGTGTGTGAAGCTGTGCAGCTGGTATAGAGCTACGAAATGTAGCGTTCAGAAGGAAAGCGTTGTTTGTGGAAGGCGTTTGTTGAATTCGAAAGAAAGCAGGGGACGGGTGCTGAGCGTCCCCTGCGTGCAATGTCTTCAGTCTTCTTGTGCACCCGCGTCTCGGGGAAGAGAACGCTAGTGCAGTCAAACAACTAGTTGAGGAAGCAAGAGGAAGGAGCGTGGAAGTTAGGGCCTTGATCGATTTTGCCCATGGATCCATCAGTGCAAAATGCGGTCCAGGCAAAGATAGCAGCAGACGCAGCCGCGGCCGAAGCCGCACCCGCGTATGACGGCGCCGCACCCAACGCCGCTGCACCCAACGCCGCCGCCGCAGACGCTGCCGCCGCTGTAAACGCTGCCGCAGCCGCTGTCGCAGCCGCCGACGCAGCCGCAGCTGCAGCCGCTCCCCCGGCAGCCGTGCACAACGGCGGCGACGCCCCCCCGGCAAACAACGGACCAGAGGAGGGTGCCGGCGCGAACCCACTCGGCGGTATCCAGGCCATGCTCACCCAGTTCATGAACGCTCACCAAGCTCAAATGGCGGCCTTACACCAACAGGTGGCGCAGCAGGGACAGATCCTGCAGCAGCAGCAGCAGCAGCAGCAGCAGCAGCAGCTGCAGCAGCAGCCACAACAGCAGCAGCAGCCACAGCAGCAGCAGCAACAACCCGCCGGCGGCTTTCTTCCTCCCGTCAACGCACCGGTGGTGGCCGCTAGCGCCGCGCCGCCCGCCCCGGCGACCGCGGGGTCGAAGATGACGGAGAAGATGAGGGCTGAGGACTGGAAAGCGACGGGCCCCCTGTGGCTCCTCGCGCGGGGCGGATTCGACACTCGCGCCCCGGTCGACGTGCCCTTCGTTAAAATGGTCGCCGGCGAATACTCACACATCACAGAGCAGGGAGGGAAACAGATGTGTAGCCTGACGGACATAAAAATCGAGCACTGTTTCCCGCCCAAGTCCGCCAACGCCGCCCTCGCTGCCATGCCCGTAACGGTCCACTTCGACACCTTCATCACCGTGCTGTTCAAAACGATCGAGTACGGCATGGACACGGCCGAGGAGAATGCCAAGCTTCGCGTCGCGGCCTGGAGGGCGGAGTTCGCATCGATTACAAGGAAGCTGGCTACGTACCTCACCCTCCACTACACAGGCCTGCAGCCCCATGAAAACCGGGTCCGCAACGTCCTCCTGGATGCCATCAACCGCGGCTTGGAAGACGGTTTCCGCATTTTACACAAGATGGCATACGACCTACGCTGGACGCACCAGGACGGCCCCCCCACCGCGGACGCCACGGATGCCGTCCCATTTCCGCGATTCAAGCTCCTGAAGACCTTGCTCGAGGAAGATCACACCCAGAGTCTCGCGGAAAAGGCAGCCCAATGGCCTCTCCCCACCGTGGCCGCCGCCCTCGCCCCCGCCACGAGTGCAAAGCGGAAGAGCGGAACGGCCGGGGCCAAGACAGCGACAACCAAGCGGCAGCGGACCACGACCACGACCCCGACGTGCCCCCCCGGTTTTTGCAAGGGATGGTGGTTCAGCCGCCAGTGCCGTATCCCAGACTGCCAACTCCACCACGTACACGCCGGTCCCGCCTCCGCCACCTCCGCCGCTTCCCCACCCCCGCAGGTCCCGCCACCCCCGCAGGCCCCGCCGCAGCAGGCGGCGGCGCCGCAGCCGCTACCATCGCAGCAGCAGCAGCAGCAGCAGCTCCGCCAGCCCAGCGTGGGCAACTTCAGCATGACGGTCCACGGCGGCAGGGGCGGTGGAGGAGGGAACCAGGGGCGCGGCGCCGGAGGGAGGGGCGGCGGGGGGAGGGGAGGTTTCTGACAGGTTGGGCTCTGCCATACGGCAGGGCCGACAGTAGGTGCGGGAGGGGAGTCAGGACACGCTGGTACCTGGTTCGCCGACGTCGCCAGGTCCGTGGGGCCTCGGGACGCGCCCACGCCGGGGTCGGTTTCGCCGGCCCTGTTTCACGGTGAGCAACTCAAGTTGAGCAATAGCGGTCGCGCAGCAAGGTATAGGTGGACCAACCACACGAACCCGTCTGGTAGCTCCACAAACCTCGACGTAGCCGAATCTCGCCCACCTGTACGATCGGATAGTAGGTTGTCCCCACACTCCAGGGCCAGAACCCTCGAAATGTCGGCACAACCACCGTTTCCTACACGAATTGACGAGATGCCGCCACGAACACGCGAAGCAGACCAACGAGTATCACCTCTTACCACAAAGATAGACACGTCATGTCACCTGTCTCCCACACAAGCCGCAGACGTAGCTGTGTCGGACACAGGGAGACTTTCGTCTCTCCCACAACGCGTAGAAGTCGGCGTTTCGGACACGGGGCTCGCCTCGCCTCTCACACGCCCCCCGGGGTATTCCGTGTCAGACGCGCGGCAGCCAACGTCTCCAACGCCGCTCGCAGCCTTGAAGGAGTCAGCGGCGACCCATCGCCCGTCGCGCACACAGCCCCACGAGGCACGTGTACCAGACGACGCACGATCGACGCTTCTCACTTCGGTCACCGCGCCTGGCGCGTCAGACACGACCTGTCCTCGAAGTCCCACCCTGCCAGAAATGGTCCAAGGGTCGGCACTACGACGACAACCGTCTCTCACGCACCACGCAAACTTTACCCCCACGCAGCAGCTCCAGCGCAATATACAACCTCCTGTAGGACTGCGCTCGACCTACACCACGGAACAACGAGTCTTGCGTCATCGTAGCCCTCCCCACGTCGGGTCATCATCGATTCCCAATGGCCAAGGGCGCAGTGAAACACAGCGAAAACACGTGGCGAGGTGGCACGAGGACAGAGCAACACTCGGAAAAACAAACCTTGAACAACCAGAGAGAGAACAAATTCTGTATCAACTAGCAGAGGTTTGCACACAAATGATGCGAGACAACCGTGGTTCGGTAGGGAAGGTAGCACGGTCGCTCGGCGGAACCCTGGTCACACCACCGGTAGACCCGAACCACGTCAGACAATATTTTGGGGACCTAAAAGGTTTTCCACAGATCGAAGAACTGATGACAATCGTTACTGGAGGGGTACCAGTGAGTGCCCCCCCGTCTAAAGCGGACCTTGCAAGCGCACTGAACTACGGAAACCACCGGTCGGCTGACGAGCACCTACCACTCATTTGGAAGAAACTCGCAGAGGATGTACGAAGAGAGAGATGTCTCGTTATTCAAAAATCGGCGGCGTATGAAATCCCAAACCTCCGCGTGTCGCCGCTGGGAGCGGTCGTTACCCACAAGGTTAGGATAATCAACGACTTGTCTTTCGACGCTGACAACAAAGGAGTAAAAGGAGGTCTCAACGCTGACACAGACGTCGACAGTGTACCCCCTAGCCTCTGCGCCGAAGCTCTGCCAAAATTCCTGTCGGAGCTAGTTAGCCTTCGAGCCAAAAACCCGAAGCTCCGCATCCTCATGTCAACGACGGACGTCAACGACGCCTATCGCAACGTTCGAGTAGAACCTGAGCAAGCGCACAACTTCAGCTACGTAGTCGACGACCTCGTCGTCATCGATTTCCGCCTGACTTTCGGTTGGACCGGCTCGCCGGGACATTTCGGAGTTATGGCGTCCGCGGCTGAACACTCGCACTGTAATACCAATCTCGACAGCGTGCAGTTGCTGCCCGAAGGAGTAAACATGATGAAGCATGTAAAAATCGTTGAACCGTGGGAGGAAGGCGACCCTACGCCCGTGCCGGACGACGCCACAGTTCACGCCACAAAAGGAGGCGATCGGTCGAGCAATTTTATGTCAGTCGTTTACGTAGATGATCACGGCCTCCTGAGAACCCAGCAATCGCCCGACGACTTGTCAGCGCTGACCGTGTCCGCGTCTTTAGCATCAGACTACGTTCGCTTGTTCGGCCCGGGAGAACCGGGGGAGACTCCTATACTCGCGCCGAAGAAGAGTTCGAATTGGGACACGCAGCTTGAATACTTAGGTTTCGTCATCGACTCGCACAAGCTAAAAATCTCTTTGACGACAAAGAAAGCAGAGGCGTTAAAAACAGCCTTAGAAATCGACTGGCCGCGCCACAAGCGTGAAGCGACAGCGCAAGAAGTGTTTAGCATAGCCGGGAAGCTGTGGAACCTCACGTACGTGGTTCGGGCCGGAAAGTACTTCGTCTGGAGGTTGTTGAGACTCACAGGACTCCACAGGAAACACACGAGAAACTGTAGCCACGTTGTAGAACTAGGGAGAGAGTTCCACGACGACCTAGATTTTTTCAGGTGGGCAATCGAACACGAATTGCTCACAGCTGGAGAGTCGCTGAACGCCCCGTGCTACGGTGTCGTAAAACGCCAGCCAAAACGACTTTATCTATCAGACGCTAGTTTCGACGCCATTGGCGGCTTCTGTCCAGAAAAAAGGGTGTTTTGGCGATACGACTTGCCCTTGGACTTCGCAACCGAATTGAAACAAAAGGCCGCGCGTCGGGAGACCTGTAGCGTCACGATCAATCTACTCGAACTCGTGGGCATGGTAATGACCGCCTGGGTAATGCACAGCCTCGTAGGGGATCGCCCAAAAAACAACAACGACCCTGTCTTGATGCGAGGTGACAACATGGCGGCCGTCACATGGTCAAACCGGTGCGGCGGGGCCAGAGACAAACGCGCGTGTTTGATGATGAGAATGCTAGGACGACTCGAGATTTCGGGAGAATGGAGTTACGAGGCAAAACACATCCCGGGCGTAAAAAACACGCTCGCGGACGGGATTTCTCGATGGCCAAGGTCGGAACTAGCCGATAGGGTCCAAAGATTCACCAACACAAACGATTGGCGCGAAATACCACTCGGTTCACGCGGAGAAAAAGTGTGTTCCTTCGTGCTGCAGAAAAAGAACCTACAACCCCGTCACGATCGAACGTTATGGAATCTCATGATGACACCTCACTAAAATTCATCGACAAAACACCCCCGTGACCTCCAACGTTATCCTCGAACCCTCCGCTTACGGACGCTTCAGGAACAGGGCGGGAAGGAGAGGGGATGAGCACGGAAGTCGCGCGGTTGGTGGATACTTTAGTGAGCGCGTCGATCGGGGGAAGCACGCATAAGGTGTACGCCGCGAAGTGGAAGACATGGTTGGATTTTATGAAACACAAGGGTAAAGAACCGTGGTTGAACTCGATGGACGAGTCCGAGATCGTCGCGCTCCTCCTCGAATTTATGACGTGTCGCTTGTTTTCGTTCAACAACCAGCAGTCCACAGTTCGGGGATACCTCGCAGCGATCAAGTTTTACCATAAGCTATGTACGGGGTGGGAGCCTCCCACGTCGCACTGTATGATTACGGCGGCAGGGAAAGGGATTGATCGCATTCGAGGGATGACGGGCAAGCAAGCGCAAGTGAGGCTGCCCCTCACGTGGTCGATGTTGTCCCAAGGCTACCATACCGTCGCGAGCGCTCCGGATGGAGGAAAAGTTTTCTGGTTAGGACTGACGCTGTCGTATTTTCTCTTGTGCCGAGCTTCGGAATTGTTCGCGTACGCGAACGGCCTCGTCCATCCAGATTTCTGTTTGACGCGTGACTGCTTGAGGTTTTTTCAAGGAGACATTCAAGTGGAGACTGAAGATAGAGCGCGCGCGGATTCAGTCAGGATTCATTTCGTGGCGTCAAAAGCAGATCAGAATCGAGAGGGATGCACGATCACGCGCACCCGCAGCCCGAGATCGGAGGAACCTGGTAGGGCGCCTTTCGGAGCCTTCGAAGCGATCGTGGAGCTCCTGAACGTCCACCGGAGCCTTCCCGGACGTGCCCCTTTGATGACGAGGATGGGTGCAAATGGGTGGAAGGTGGTTACTCGCGCGGAAGCTGTAGTCGCGCTGAGGAGGATGGTTGCTTGTGCAGGGAAGGATCCGGCACAGTACGCGTTGCACTCGGGTCGCATTGGTGGCGCCACGCAATTAGCCGCGCAAGGCGTGTCGGACTTGCAGATTCAGCGGGCTGGGCGTTGGAAGTCGCGAGCGTTCATGGTGTACGTAAGGGAAGCGGGAGAAGGAGCAGAAACGGTTTCCGTGGGACTTACAGGAGGAAGATGAGAGTAAAACAGTACACTCAGCCTGCACAATGGCGTGGTTTTCAGATAGCTTGGAAGAGGCTATTCTCGTACCGGATTGGCTGAGTCGTGAATTCGAGTATCGTATAGGGACATCGTAGGGGCAGGACCCACAAGAGTGGAGGTACGGTTCGTCTACATGTGATCTATATTGTCTCGGGTCTTCATCATTTTTTCTCGTAGAAGATTAGAAAAATAATGCCAGAATTCTTGAGCCTATAACAAAGAGGGTACAAGGGGCACCGTGAATTTAATCGGCGACATCTATTTTCGATTCGGCGGAGCCCCCTTCGGAATGGGCGACATTTTTTTTTCTTCCGGCGTTTTTTTTTGTACAGCTGTTCCTTCGGTGACATTTTTCAGAAATCGGTGTTTTCGGCGATCGCGAGCGGGGGAAGGGCCTAGCCGTGGACTAAATTGATACGCGCACGACTACGGTAAAATGTAGACCGCTGAGTTTGTTGTTGCTGCTAAGTGATTCGAGCTGTAGAGTCCTTCCTGGAAGGAAACACTCACCTGTTCTGTGCGTATATTTATTTCTCCTTAATTCACCTGACAAGAATACAACTCGCGCAAGGGTGCAGTACCGATGTGGTTCTCGCGACGCGCTCATTCTCGTTGCTTCCACATTTTCCAAAGCGTCTTGGCGTTCGAGGTGTGCCGCCCCTCATGACTTGGGACCCGGTTTCACGGACCATGGAAAGGTTAGGGCAGTCGTCGCAGGTTTTTTTGGACGTTTACACAGAAGCAGTGGCCGCGCCTGGTTGTTGGCGCACAACCCAATGTTTTGCGCGTCACACCTTTCTTCTAGTACAAGTTCGTAAGTGTTCGATCAAGATGGCCGTCGTTTTGTCGAGTGGCGTGGCAGATACGAGCAGCGGTGTCCGTCGCCCCATGAACCGATCGCGTGTCTCCACAAACCTCCGACTTGGGCTGCTTCGTCCTTTCGCCGCGCTCATCAACCACCAGCAGTAGTTGCACCGAATTTGCCGCCTCGAAATCATGCCGTGGCATGGTCCAACCGGCAGTCTGTTGTCACGATCTCTCAGTCGAACATGTCTCCATGGACTCCGTCAATTTGCGAGTCAGCTTGTTTTTTTCGTTATAGTCCTCTCTTAACATGCTACAGGAGTTAACAGCTTTGAACCAAGGCAGATGGGTACACAGTCACACACCGGCGTTTCGTTTCCACGCAAACGCGCAACATCGTCTCGATCGTTGTCTGTTGTATGCATACAATGCCTACAAACCCTTGAGAATCTCCAGAATCTCCGAGCCCTTAGTTGCGTTTGTTTCAGGAAATGTGGAAATACAAACAGGAAGACAAGCCCCTCCGTGGTTAACATCAACCTTTGACCCGCCTTCCCTTTCTCCTCCCCTTGCCTTATCACTGTCGCCACCTACAACCACAGCGCGTTCAACGGCGCCGCCGTCACCACCCCGGCCAAGTCTTCCTCCGCCATGAAGATGTCGTTCGAGTCGGAGATCGGCGCGCAGCCCCCCCTCGGATTCTGGGACCCGCTCGGCCTCCTGGCCGACGCGGACCAGGAGCGGTTCGAGCGCCTCCGGTACGTGGAGGTGAAGCACGGGCGCATCGCTATGCTCGCCATCGCCGGTCACCTGACCCAGCAGAACGTCCGCCTCCCCGGCATGCTGTCGAACTCGGCNTGCGTCCTCTGTGAGGGGGCATTAGTTGCCTCTTGATGAGGTCGTGTCTGTTTTGTCCTGACCTGCTCGAACGTCTGCTGGGTGGTTTCGAGGGCAGACGCTGTTGCCTTGTGTGTGAATATTGTTAAGCAGGGTTTCACCGTCTAGCAGCTAATTGAGCCGACTTGTAGAGCCAATTTTAGAGATAGAATGCAGCCCAATTTTTTTTCGCCTCTTGATTGCCGGTCCCAGACACTACTTTGCGGGAAGGGGAGAGGTTTTTGCATTGTTTTGGGCGTGAAGCTTTTCTTGCCAAGAGCAACGAGGGGAGACTTCTTCGGGGTCCCCCCACATGGTTCCAAGTGCTGAATGTTCCTGTACTTTTAAATGATGTTTGCGGTGTTGTTGCGGTAGTTGTGCTGCCACGGGTTCAATGATGGCGATGGGTGACGTCGAGTGATGTTTAATTGAACCAAGCAACACGCACACTTGATTTTATATGCCCGCCTCTTCGTTGGTTGGCACCGTGACACGAGGTACGGCGTCCCAAGGTGGACACGTTGCCCACGTTTCGCTTTGGAGGTTACTATGATGCTCGCTGCGACCGACGCCTTGCGCAAGATTCTAGAAAGTGCTCGGTGGAAAAACCGTGCCACACACACTTCTTGAAGAGTTTCGCACAACCCAACCCGTATCCTCTGTTTCAAAACCTTCACGAAACATGGGAGGAGTTCGGGCACAGAGCGCGCTGTTGCCACTGCATTGGTGTCTCTCGCGAAGTGCAACTTATGCGTGTGGAGCGCTTTTTTGCCTTGTTCCCAGTACCCTACCCCAGAAACAGCCTGCACTACGCGTCGCCAGCCATTTGCAAATCCACAACCCTACTCGTAGTGCTGATGCACACACAGTTTGAAAACAACGGCAGGTTCTTCTCCGTCTTCCGTCATATGCTGTCGCTTACAATCCCGGACCCGTCGGTTGGGCTCAATATTTACTCACGATTTTGTTTCTGATGGATACTAGTGATTCCGTTTCATCTGATGGCTTGGGTGTAGGAAGGTAGACCAACCACTACTGCACAAAGCCACACAAGGACGGGTACGCGAAAAACCAACACGAACTGTTGCTGTTCGAATTGACGACATTCCCACAACAGCGCGCTCCGCGAAGGAGTTCGTTCGCCGTGGTTGCATCCGCCGACATTCGTCAAGAAGTGCTTTCCATGGTTGCGGAAGATAGCACACCTCCTATACCGATTATCAGAGCTCGCCCAGATGACGACGAGGATGGACAAATCAAATCATCACACGTTTTCGGTAAGCTCTCGGCTACATGTTCCCAACGGCACCGTCGCTCGGTGCTGGGCTTGCTGCACATGAGTACTCGACACCGATCGCCCTTTCAAATTCGGTGCGGAGGGTGGGGGTATCTCACGCAGCCGTAGGTATGCAAGCATGTACACCGGTCGCCCCGGTGGTCTAGTTGGTGAAACCTTCTAGTCTAGAGGTCAGGTCAGGGGTTTGAATCCCGGCGTAAGCGAGCTTCTCTTGCAAAGTGAGTTTTTCTCTTGCTTCCGCTCCTGGCTTAGTGGATAGCGCTAGTTCGTGTTTACACAGAGAGAAGAGAGTGCTGAACTCTTCTCGCATTAAAAATCGAAGGCAAAGTACCGCAGGAGGGGAGGGTAGAGAGGGGCTCTTCTGTGTGACCACGGGTTGGACTAAAGCGCACCAGTCAGTGCTGTGAGCGCTGATTTGAAGTGAAGACAAAAATAAATAAATAGCATAAAGCATATATATACGGCGTAGGCAGCGATGCCCATCTCATTTTTTGTGCGCGGAGGCAGACACCGTCAGAAGGTGGACGGGCACTATGTACACGGCCCTAGGTTGGCTAGAGGGAGCTGCATTGCCTCAGTAATCTGGCTTCGCCATCAAAGGAGGAGGGAGCAGGTGGCGACGAGCTGAACTGGGCTGGTTGACCCCTTCGGCGCGAGAATTTTTATTTTTCAGACCAAGAACCTTGAGTGCAACGAGGGAGAAAGCGAGGAACCGACTGGGAAGGACAGCAACG